GATCCCAGGACCCTGGGATCATGACCTGAGCCGAAGGCAGACGTCTAACGACTGAGCCACCCAGGCGCCCCTTTGATGTTTTCACTTAACATTATACCATGATCGATCTATCAATTATTAAATTGTCTTTGAAAATTATTAATTATAAAAACAAACAAATTAAAAACAAAACAAAACAAAGCCATGCTTAAGTGCCCATCTCCTTTATGGAAGAGTCTCATTAACCAGACCCATGTAGCATTGGCTTTTTTGCCAGGCGCCCTGCCCAGAACACTTTTGGAGACCCACAAAAATATTTTGATTTCTTTTAAAGCCAGAACAAAAATGAACTTTTAGAGTCAAAGAAAATGTTTTAATTTTTAATCCAGCTTGGATTAGGTTCATCTTTGTGCCAATGCAATTGTAAAATATAATCCTTGATTTTTTTTTTTTTTTTTAATGAAGGAAAGAAAAGGCCCACGAAGGCAAGAGTGCCTTTGTGGTCCTAGACCCAAGTCATTGAAAATTCAGGATAACTCAGACATGTATTGGGTGGAAAAAGGTTAGAAGAGAGGTGGTTTGTAAGCAAATGACTTAGTATAAATGTAACCAATATATTTTGGAGGGAGAAAGATGCCATGTATTAGCTCTCATTTAAACACAAAGAATGGAAAAGCTCATTAAAAACACGTATTCATGTAAAGTGCACCCTCTCCAGTCACCCCAACCCCAGGCCCCCAGGCCCTAGCTGCATTGACAGCCTGCATTTAGCCTTAGAAGCCTGGAGTAATTCCACAAGTCTCCTTTCTCCCTATCCCTCTAACCCCTGGCCCCCACATTGGTCCCAATACATTACTCTTTTTCCCCCAGTTTATTCTTTTAAGTAATCTCTATACCCAACGTCGGGCTCGAACTCACGACCCCGAGATCAAGAGCTGCAAGCTCTACTGATTGAGCCAGCCAGGAGCCCCAGCACATTGCATTTCTGAGGAAGAGCCACATGGGGATGGGGGGGAGATTTACCTTTGAATCAGGTGAAACAGGAAAGTCAGCTGACTTGGTTTTTAAGGAATGAGGGGCATCTGTAGAAGGAGGCAGGAGGTTGGCTCTGGCTGGAGCGGGCCCTGGAAAGGAGGAAGACAGGAGGGGTTCTCAACCGGTTCCCACACCAGTTTCTCCTTCACTCCACACTTTTGTCACTAATGACACCTGCTATTTCCTGACCCCCCCGGGTGCTGGCCTGCACGCTCCTCACGAGCTAGCTCGGGGAAGCTCTGTAACAACCATGGGCTGGTTCCATATATGACTCCCACTGGGCGGGGGGGGAAATGGAGGCACTGGAGGCGGCTACTGGCCCAGGGCCACACAGCGAGTAAGTGGCAGAGCCAGGCTTCAGATGGAGATCCGTGTGACTTCCAAGCCCTACGCTGGCCCACCTCCCACACAAGGAGCAGTGAAGGACACAGAGGTGATCAGCTATGGAACCCGCCTTCCAGAAAATTCCATTGCAGCAGCAGTGGCAATAACCAGCCTCTAAGGGCAGAGGCAGCAAAGAGGCCACGAAAGCAGGTTGGGAGGCCAAGGAGGGTTTCACAGAGGATTTCAAAAAGTGGACATAAGGCATTGAGGGAGTGGGACCGGCTGTGCAGAGGCATGAGAGCGGGCAAGCCCGGGCATGCAGAAAGCACTCAGGCAGGCTTAGCCAGCCAACACCGATGTTACACAAGGCCCTGCTCTAAATGAGTCACTTTGTTAAGTCACTGAACCCTCACAACAATCCTAGGAGACAGGTACCATTATGTCCTTTTTACCGATGGTGAAACTGAGGCAGAGAGAAGTGAAGTAACCTTTCCAAGGGCACACAGCCAGTGCCTCTGGAGTCCATGCTCTTTTTTTTTTTTTTTAAAGTGGGCTCCATGCAGGACACCCAACGTGGGGCATGGAGCCCAACGCAGGGCTTGAACTCACGACCCTGAGTTCAAGACCTGAGCTGAGATCAAGAGTTGGCCATTTAACTGACTGAGCCAACTCAGTGCCCCTGGAGTCCGTGCTCTTAATGCCTTAGTGAATGAAGAAGATTCAGGAGAGAGAAGGCTTGAAGAATAGTTTGGGGTCAGGTAAAAGCCAGGTTAAAGAGGTGACATTTCTTCACGGGGCACCAGAAAAAGATTAACCTGAACACGAATGAGGCAGTCTGGAGTTGGGTGAATTAGAGCGGGTGCAAGCCAGGGATGAGACAGAATGAGGGATGAGCTGTGGGGGCCGATCCACGCAGGAGCGGACCTCGGCCAGAAGCCAGAAGCTTCAGATGTCACCATCTGGAAACACCCAGGTGGCCCCATGGCTGGGATGGCCTCTGAGTAACTGGGTGCCGGCCCTCCAAGGGAACCTGGCCTTGACCCCAGGGTTGCTGGCCCAATCCATCTGCTTCAGATATTTCTGGTTTATAAAATCAGGAAATGAGTGATTAATCTGCAACTCTGGCCATAAAAGAAAATTTAATTCAGAAAACTGAAAATAGCACCCTGATGAAGCTAGAATGAGGCTTACTAAACTATTAACCCAGGCAGCTGATAAAACAAAGCTCACCTAATGCAGGCTAAGGCTCTTTCATCCCCACAGAGCCCAAGAGGAGGGGCACCCTAAGCCTCTCTCCCTGAGTCCGCTGCTCTAGACCTCTCGACAGCGGACTAGAGCCATGCCACTCTCTCAAATCCATCCCCACATCTGCCTAAGCTTCCCAGGGGCTGCTCCCCGTGACTGAGTGTGGAGGGGAGAAGAAGGGGAGACCCAGGGGAGACCCAGGGCCCTGATCTCCCTAAGGACACTCCCTTAGACACTCCCACCCAACTTTCCCACCCTCTCTCCCTCCCCCAGACCCCAAGCCTCCTCCAGCTTCGCCCAGCTCCTTCCCCATTTTCACTCAGGCCTTTGTCCTGTGAAGATCCTCCTGCTTCTCAGGTGACCTGGTCCAATACAGGCCTCTGCTGGCGGGCCCAGGGACCCTGCCTTGCAAAAAGTCTCCCTTCCATTGCTGCCTCTACCCGTGCCCTGCCTGCTCTTGGCCTTGGCTCAGTACGCTTGGCCTGGGTCCCCAAACTGTGGTCATGTTCATCCATCTCCTAACTGTTGGCTGTGTCTCTGAGCCACCTCACTGTGAGTGACTTGATGTTTCTCTTTCAGTCCACTTTAATTCACACATTATGTATTTAGCCTTGAAATCCCTAGTTTTTTGTGCATGAGATGTACATCTTTTCTAACATCCATGCTCTCTTGTACCACGGGGAGCCGGGCTCCACGCCCTGGGGACCACTGCTCCATGGTCGCTCCATTTCCCTCTGCTTCCTTCCTCAAGTTCTGCCCTATCCTGGCCTCAGGGCAGGGTTCTCAGTGAGCAGATGGTCCCTCTCCCTCTCCCTTTGCCCAGTGACTCCCAGGCCAGCACTGGCCTCACATTAACCATGACTTTCTGGTCTGGCTTGATGCCCGGGGTTCGCCTGAGGTTGGGAGGGTGTCACCGAGGTCTGCCCTTGTGACATATGAGGGCTACTGGTTGAAGGAGGGGCTCCTTATCCCTGTGGTTTTGGGGGAAAAAGGAATGGGATTTGAGCCAATGCCACAAGCTGACAAATCAGATAAGAACTAGACTTGCTTTGTAAATGCTTAGTGGAAGCCCTGGGTCAGGGGAGACACTCATCCTCACACACGTCTTTTCCAAAGCACTCACGCTCCATGTGCCAAAACTTTTACGAAAAAAACATTTCCTACGGAAATCTTTCTGGAAAGTCTGCTTTCCCCAGCAGAATATGCCGAATCTCGTCATGCTGAGCTGCGTCGCTGAAGGCATGAGTAAAGAGCACTGGGGAGGTGCTGTATCTGATGGGAGGTCTTCTGCATCCTGCCCTGGGGCTGCCTGAGGAGCTACCTGGGCAGCCTCCCCACCTCCTTTGTCCATAGCAGAGAGAAATGGGCTCAAGTCCTGGCTCTTCCATTACAAAGATTTGAACTTGGGTGACCTGTACTTCATTTCTTTGAGCTTTCTCAGATGCACAAAGAACAATAAAAGGCCATTCCTTGTAGAGTTCTTGTCCAGACTAAATAACCGAGATGACAGTTACAAAGCACTGAGGTCAGTCTCTGGCACACAGGGAGTCCCAAAGCTGGTAGAACTACACGCAGAATGAGAGATTCTGACAGATAGCCCGCCGGCCTCTCCTAGAGCTACGGCTTTGTGACAGTTGGCGTCAGCCACCAAAGCCCTCGTCTCTGAAGTCCGGCTCTGTGAGTTCGTTTAATGAGCTGCTCACCACCTGTCTGTGGCTTTCCTGCTCACCTAGTTTCCTCCTCCCTGTCTCTTTCCCATTTCCTTCCCACCCACGAGGGAGTCAAGACATGCAGGGGTTACCGTGTGGGTTCTGGGGCAACTGGCCTAAGCTGGATCCTGGTCCCACCGCTTTCTCAGCCATGAGGCTTCAGCGGGTTATGCATCCTTCCCCCTCTGTCCAGGGGGGCAATAAGAGCCCCACATCCCTGGGCAACTCTGTGGGGCACAAGAAGCTCCTACACACAGCAGGTCAGGAGGTCATGTTGCCGCCACCTGTCTCTGTCCCCTGCCCCCCGTCCCACCCCCCATCTCCGCATTTTCCACTCCAACAAGATAATCAGTCAGCTTGAACTCTGGGGCCCAATGGAACTTTAGGGTTTTCCCGAGAGCAGATGGGGTTTGGGTTATTAGATTAAATTAATGATTACTTCTAGTTGGGGCAAAGATAGACAACCAGCTTCCTTCCTCCATCTGTAGACTGTGGTTTGTCATCTTGACTTGCTGGGACACATGTGTTCCCAAGGGCCATTCAAGAAAGGGAACAGTGCAAAGGCCTCACCAGATGAGGCTGGTTTCTGCAGTAGCCCTAGATAAGGAATACCAGAGGGTGTGACCCCTATCACCTCCTCCATCTGGGCCAGCATTCCCCTAGAATTTCCCTGCTTTGCTATGATTCTTCCCTTTGGCCATCGATCAGTATCACATTTGCTTTAGGACCACTTCCCCTTATCTTTAACTGCTGATCAAAGTTCTGCCCTTGTCTTTGTTTGTTTTTATCTTTAGCTACAGTTAACAGTTCAGACTCCCTGGCCTAGAATTATTTCCCCAGCTTCAGCCTATCTGGGGTGTCCGGAACACTGCTAATATTAACTAACATTTGATGAGCACCTAATGGTAGCAACACTGAGGTGTTTGATTCCTTACTACATGCTGACATAGGCTTTCATTACTGTGCCTGCTTTTTTATTTTTTTTAAGATTTTATTTATTCATTTAGAGAGAGAGCGCGCGTGCATCCATGCGTGTGAGTGGGGGGAGGGGCAGGGGAGAGGGAGACCCTCTCAAACAGACTCCGCACCGAGCACCGAGCCTGATGTGGAACTCGATTTCACAACCCTGAGAGCATGACTCTAGCCAAAATCAAGAGTCAGACGCTCAACCAACTGAGCCACGCAGGCGCCCCTGTGCCCGCTTTTTTAGATGAAGAAACTGAGGTACAGAGAAGCTAAGTAATTCTCCTCCTAGAAACTGAGAGGTGGGATTCAAATACAGGTTTGTCTAATGCAAAAACCCAGGCACGCTCCTCTAGGCCAACGCTGACCCTGGCTTCAGGAACAGCATCAATGAACTGAGATTTCTTGGATGTGGGACATTCAGCTCACCACTCGGGAGCCTACAGGAGAGCAGAAGGGAGGCCAGGCCCCTGGGGAGAGGTGGTGAGAATGGACACGCAGGTGTGAATAGTGTGAACAGTGGTGTCCTCCCCCCCCCCCCCCCCCCCCCCCGACACCACCCCAGGGAAGCCATCCATCCGCAGGCTGAGTCTTTCCATCATTTGTCGAACTGTTCCTGAACCCTTCCCTGGGCACAAGGGGGTGGAGACAAATCTGAAGTGGTCAAAAGGCTCTGGGATAGCAGTGTGTGCACTGTCAGGGACAGAGGCGTCTAAACCGCACTGCTCAGATGCTACTTCTTACTTGCGTGACCTTGAGCAAATCACTTCTCTCAGCGGCTCAGGTGCCGTAGAGGAAAGCAGCAGATGTGTGCCGGATAGAGGAGGGGGAGGGGGGCAGGCAGGACCACAGTGCCCCACTACACAGCTGAGAGGGCCAGGCCCCAGCCCGGCCACGGGCCCGTGCAGAACAGAGAGGTCATCAGGCTCCCAGGCTGGAGCCGGCAGGAGGACCAGCCCGTGCTCGAGGCTCGGGAAACCACAGGGAAAATACCTGGGTCCCGGAGCATATGACCTTAGCGGGCTGTGTAACCTCTCCATGCTTCAGTTTCCCCATCTGTAAAATGGGGATAATCACCATACCTAACTTGTACAGCCAACTGAGGATTACATAGGTCGGCGTGTCCGGCACTGAGAGAGCCCTCAATTACAGAGCTATCTTTTCTCTTTCTGTAAAAATGATAATAAGCAGTATATATTCTGCTGGCATCTGACTTTTTTTTTGCTTTTTTAATTCAATATACTGTGAGCATGTTTCCGTGTATGTATACACATCCACATCATTTTTAACAGTATTGTATTGTTCTGACCGACTGTCATTAATTTTACCATCCCCCTTGTTGTTTCCAATTTGTTTGCTATTATACACTGAGCTCAATATCCTGATAGATAAAACATTTCCTTAAATACCTTTCCTTTAAATTAAAAAATGAAATTTAATTTAAAATACCTGGACTTGGAAAGGCATCTGGCCTCACGGATGGCCCCTTTTCCTGTTCATCTTCAGTGTTTCTCACAGAAGCTGCCAGCAGCCTTCCTGGCTTTGCAGCATCCGGGAAGTCTAGGGAAGAAGACTTGACTTCAGGAACTGGTTTCCCTGAAACAAGGTAGAAAGAAAGAAAGTTACTATTACTCAGTGAAGTGGGATAGCCATCAAGAGGCGGGGTCTACAAGTCAGAGACCTGGGCTCTATTCCTGGCTCCACCTCGAATTCACTGTGGCCCAGTGAGTTCTTTCCCTCCTGGCCTCGGCCTCCCCATGTATGTAGTCGGGAGACACGACAATCTCCTGTGATCGGTCCAGCTCTGACACTGAGTCAACACAAAACTGGCTTCGGATCCTACCAGCAGTGTGACCTTAGACAAGACAGTCTCCTCTGAGCCTGTTCCCTCAACTATAAACTAGAGAGGGTTGGGGAGCCTGCATAGCTCAGTCAGTTAAGCGTCTGCCTTCGGCTCAGGTCATGATCGAGTGTCGTGAGATTGAGCCCCACATCAGGCTCCCCACTAAGCAGGGAGTCTGCTTCTCCCTCTCCCTGTGCCCCTCCCCCCTGCTCATGCTCACTTGCTCTCACTCTATCTCAAATAAATAAATAAATAATCTTTTAAAAAATAAAATAAAATAAAATGGAGAGGGTAATAATGACAGTATCTGTGTGCCTACCTCCCAGGGCTGTTAAGAGGAAGGTAATGGGAACATAGACGTAAAAGGGCTCTGTAGACTATACATTTCCCCGAACGTGGGAGGAAGTTAAAGATATTCACTCCACCAAGTCCCTAGTAGGGCCCCTAAATATGAAAGTCTGGAAGTCCTACAAGCAGTGGAATCATGTGTATCCTTCCCCGTCTTACAGATGGGGACCCTGCCAACAGCCCCTATGTCAAGTGAGTGCCAAGCATGCCATGCCCAGTGGGCATCCTTCAAATCCTCACAAGCGGTTTGCATTTCGTCCCCATTAGAAATGAGGAAACTGAGGCCTGAGCAGGTTAAGTGGCTGGCCAAAGATCACACCACCTGGGCAGGCAGGACTGGCCGGAGAAGCCTGGGTGGAGGTTCCCTGGTTCTTGAGAGGAATCCCTTCCCCTTTGCACCAAGGTGGGAAACCCCAAAGGTTCTGTGAGGGCGTATCTACACCAGCTCCCAACCAGCTTCACAGAGGCCGCATGCAGTCTGTGATGCAGCTTCCTCTCGCCTCCTCCGCCGCCGTCCTGGCCTCGTCTCCCCCAGCCGGCGGCCGCCTCCAGCTGGGGCCGCCTCCAGACCCCTCCCCAGGCCACATCTTGCTAAAATACAAGTCTTGTCTCTTCACTTCCCCGTTTAAAGCCTTTATGACCTCCCACTGTCCAGATGAAGTACACACTCTTCTCCCAAATCCTTGTATCTCCCCGTTACCATCCAGATCAAACCCAAAGTCCACAGCCCTGTGTTCAAGGCCCTTCACCCTCCGGTGGTCTGGGGCGAACCCGTATTTGAGAACCACAAAAACAGGGGCACTGGAATTCCCGGGGAAAGCCTCTGACTTGCTCACACATGCATCAGGTGGGGCTAGGACAAAACGTCTCCAACCTTTGAGTCTCCCTGCGGTAGCAATTCCTCCGGCAGATCAACTGTGTCTCTCTCTAAACAAAACCATTACCGAGGGGCCAAGCTTTTCAAACCCAAGCTTTGCGACTAGAACAATAATGCCTAACAATGCACGGCACTATGCTTGTATGGAACCACAGAGACTGATTTTCACGACAGTCTCTGGCGGCTGACAGAATTGTCCGCATTTTATTTTTAAGCACATCGTGGTTCAGATAGGCGAAATGATTTGTCTCTGGTCAAACTGATAAGATTCAAACCTAGGGCTGGTTTCGCTGCTCCTGGTGGATTGGCTCAGCTGAAGTACTCGGACACCACTGTTGTGCTCCCCTCCCCAGCCCCCCAGCCCCCTCTGCAGATGGCACCACCCCGGGGCTACCTGCACAAAGCAGGAGAAAAGGATGGGAGCGTGGGAAGAAAGGCTACAGGGAATGCAAGAAAGTAGTAAGGAGGCTGAGTGCTGGATGATGGGTGACTTTCTCCTTTCCTGACAATGACTTGTCATTATTATCTCTTAACGGACTGTGAGCCACCCAAGCGCCTCTTATTATTACCTCTTAAATAAAATTATGAAAGAAGTAGCAGTGCCGCCCAGCTGGCTCAGTTGGTGGAGTGTGTGCCTCTTGATCTTGGGGTCGTGAGTTTGAGCCCCAAGTTGGGCATATAGCTTCCTTAAAAATAAAATCTTTTTTTTTTTTTAAGATTGTATTTATTTACTTGAGAGAAAGAGAGCAAGCGCACAAGCGGGGTAGGGGGAGGGGCAGAGGGAGAAGCAGGCTCCCCACGGAGCAGGGAGCCCGATGTGGGGCTCTATCCCGGGACTCCAGGATCATGACCTGAGCCGAAGGCAGACACCCAACCGACTGGGCCACCCAGGTGCCCCTAAAAATAAAATCTTAAAAAAAGAAGAAGTAGCAGAGCTGAGCTATTTCAAGTTCAGGCTCTGGGATGGAAACCAGCCCCACGACCTCCCAGCTCTGTTGACCTCACGCCCCTTTTGTGAGGACTAAGGGACACAGTGTGTACGACCTGCTCAGCGCCAACATGGGAACTTCATGGTTGTTGCTATGATATTTTTAAAATATTGGTTATCTTGGTGTGCCTGGGTGGCTCAGGCGCTGGGCGTCTGCTGTCAGCTCAGGTCATGATCCCAGAGTCCTGGGATCAAGCCCCACATTGGGCTCCCTGCTCCGTGGGGAGCCTGCTTTTCCCTCTTTAACTCCCCCTGCTTGTGTTCCCTCTCTCGCTGTGTCTCTCTCTGTCAAATAAATAAATAAAATCTTTAAAAATAAAATAAAATATTGGTTATCTCTTCAACAGCCCACATATTGAGTGGAAGGAGGGTAGGATGGGACTCTTTCAGTTTTTACTTAACACAACTCTGAATCATTCACACTGTGTTTAAATTTCTTATTATATATATTTTTTATTGTGGTAAATTACGCATGACATAAAATTTACCGCCTACGCCATTTTTAAGTGCACGGTCCAGCGGCATTACGTCCAAGCACCCTGTTGTACAACCATCCCCACCATCCACCACCAGAACCTTTTCGCTTTCCCAAACTGAACTCTGTCCCCATTAAAAACCAACTTACCATCCCTTCCCCCACAGCCCCTGGCACCCACCATTCTACTTTCTGTCTCTAGAAATGTGACTGTTCATTAAAGTATTTTAACTTGTGTGGGTGTTTTTCTTAATTCACTTTAATAGCAACTAAAAAGATGTATGTGTCTATCCCATCCATTGACATGGAAAGGTATTACTACACCGTTGAGTGACAACAGAGCTTATAAACTATGTAACAAGTTTTCTGTAAAATACGTGTAAAAGTATAGAAGACATCTGTGTATGAAGAGAAAAAGAAGATGAAGAACATATACAAAATGTGAACAGTGATTATTTCTGGGTAATGTGATTATCAGTGATTTTACATTATGGGCTACGTTGGTTGGTTGGTTGGCTTTCCATTTATTCACACTGTAGAATTTTTCAACAATGATCATGCATTGGTTGCAAAGTAAAGTATGTTTCCTAAGGAAAAAAAAAAAAAAATCAGGAAGCAAGCTAGTTAGCTCCAATAATGACCAGAACGGAGTCTTCCAAGCTAGAGTGAGTAGCCATTTGTGCTGGGGAATCCATCTGACCCGGATTAGCAAGCAGGTGATCTCGACATTCAGATCCGACTCACTTTTGGTTTTTGCCACCCACTGTTTATGATGTGTTCTTGATATTTTCACTACAAGTATTCTCACCACATCCTGGCCCCAGCTCCCCTCGCGCTGGGCGGGCCAGGCCTGCTGGTGAAGGGGACCTCAGACTGCCACTTCCCACAGAGGCCAGGCCACAACCAGAGGAGATGCTCCCAGCTGCACTTCCTTCCCGAAGGTCCTACCTGCACCCTGAACTGTCTGTGACCCCAGAAGCACCAGCACCTTCCCCTGTGTGCGGGCCCCACTGAGCCCTGGTTTCCTCATTGTCAAATGAGGGGGGTGGGGGAGGGGACATCGGGCCTGACCTGGCGGCAGCGTCCTATTGCTGGGGTCCGTTTTTTATTTCTCTTTCGCCACAAATCTTGGCCTGTTAGGACGTATCTGGCAGGAACATTGAGGCCACCAGCCCATCTGCAGCGGACCTCTAGGGCCTCCACCCATGCGGGACATAAAAGGCTTCATTATGTTTTCATCCTAAGGACGAGTTCAGCTTTTCTCTTTGTTTTTCTGTTCTTTTGCGGTGACACGTAGTGGCCTACAGTTGGCACATGGGTCACGGGCCAGCACTCAGGGGTCAGGGACCCCACACAGGGAGGGGAGAACTGTCCTGTGGCCTCGGCAGGGCCTACCGGCCAGCACATTCCAGGCTGACACCCGCCCTCCCACCTAGTCAACCTCCAAGGGTCACATGCGCCACAGAGGTAAGCTGACAGAGCCCCACGCCAGGCCCACAGCGACAATCTGATGACAAACTTCATTTTCCTGTGAAACCGCTGTCTCAGCATACTGGGAGTTTTCAGATGTATCTGAAGTGCTGACAATAAATAAGAGGTACAGGGACGCCTGGGTGGCTCAGTTGGTTAGGAATCTGCCTTCGGCTCAGGTCCTGATCCCAGGGTCCTGGGATCAAGCCCTGCATCGGGCTCCCTGCTCGGCGGGAGGCCTGCTTCTCCCTCTGCCCCTCCCCCTGCTTGTGTTCTCTCGCTTGCTCACTCTCTCAAATAAATAAATAGACATCTTTAATAAATAAGAGGCATAAACATTAAACATCTCCACTTCCCATCTTGCATTGCTGGTGCCTGATCTGAGGCAGAAGATGCGCAGTGGGCCTGGGAGGGCCTCCTTCCCCGCCATCAAAACCAAGAGAGGGAGACAGTGTGGCTTCTCTACGTTTCATGCCTGGAAACCTGATCTCTGATAGCCAGGCCGACACGACGCCCACTCTTTCAGGCTGCCACACCCGAGCGCTTATTGAAGTAAAAACAGAATATCGATGACAGGATGGGGCAAATGAAGCCC